ATGCCTCCTCGGAGTCTCCTCTTATTATAATGATAGTGGAAGCATTTTGATTGCAGTACTGGCCAGGTCATATGCTCAGCGGTGTCTAAAAGCAGATGAAAAGAGCCCCATATCATGACCATTATGAAGATCAGGTCTTTGTAGCTGTAATGAAAAGAAAAAAAATGACAAAAACGGTTTGGTGTCCTCCTTGCTATAGGCAACACTTTTGCAATTTATGTGGGGATACAGCAAATACACTGTATACCAAAAACAGTTTTAAAGCTCATAAAATGAAACATGGAGCGTTATTTCATGAAGTGAAGCTAGTTTTTAGTTTTTAACCATGAAATTTTATTCTTAAATGCCTTGGTCTCCATGTAATCTCCATGCAATTAAAAACGTTACTTAAAAAGAAATATACTAGAGGTATACTTTTTAATGTACATTTGGAAGAAAAGCAGGATCAGCTACACCAACCTTTAGTAATGTCAGTATCAGCATCAATGACAGTCTGTTTGGCCAATACTTTGGGAATTTCAACTGCAGTCTTGTGATAGACTAGGGACCTGCGCAGGGTGTATCTCACCTCTCACCCAAGCTGGGATTGGCTCCAGCCCCCCGTTACCCTATTCAGGAATAAGCGGTATAGACAATGGATGGATGGATGGATTTCAACTGCACTTCCCCAGACTCCCTAACATTATACATCCTGGTGGCCTAACTTTTAACAAAAAGGACTAGAAACAGACAAATCTCTAGCAATAAATCAAGCAGCTCAATAACAAACTAATGCAAAATGTAATGTAGGATTTGCCTTGACCTGAACCAAATGATTCTGGCTGTTTTCACAAGAGCAGTGTAACTAAAATACATGTGATCTGCAGAGCCAAATATGACACATGGATGGCTGCCTGGTATTTAGACATGGGTCTGTAGAGACCATCTGACCTACTTGTGCTAAATGGGCCTTGATGGTGGCAACTTTTATTTGATGCCTTCCATCAGTCCTTGAATCACTGAAGAGCTGTGGATGCTAATGAAATTGAGAGAAGGTGCTTTTCTCTCCTGTTAATAACTATTATAACTTGTTGATTTTCACCACAGAGAACATATGAACTCATTCAGACCGTTTAGGCTTGGAGGGGTTGCTCTCCACAGCAACTATAAATTGTAATTTACAACACTGTATCCTGAAGCCCAGGAAGTGTAATAAAGTCTGTCTGGACTACAGGATGTTGAGTTTGGTTTTCCATAACTTACATTCTAGATATGCTGCAGGTGATAGTGAGCATAATTGTTATTGACAGTTCTACTCACACATCATTGGCAGTGGAGCTGCAATACAAAATGGTGAACCTGGGGCTCTGTTTTGCCTTACACAGGTGTACTGACACACCTTCAATAAATGTGATATTACAAGGCCCGGTCTGGGGTGGTCACATGAGTTTTCTCACGATGAAGTGAGGCACTGAAACATCTTGCTGCAATACTTCTGCTTTGAAAGGTCAATATGGTGCTGAGTTGTCTGCTTCGAGTGTAACATCACTACTGTGCTGTGACATCTCAAGACTGCTTTAAAAGGTCTTATTTGGGAATGCAGCGTGTGGCCTGTCTGCATAGTTTTTAAATTATTAATTTAATTGGTTGTACTGTAGTTGCCATTGGCCTGGGTGTCAATTAAGTAGATCCAGCGGACTTGCAAGAACATTTTCAAGGAACATAGAGGAGCCATGCTTCACACCAAGGCCTGGTTAGTGCAGCTGACTTTTGGGAGAGGCTGACTGGAAGAATATTATCCAGAGACCTGGCTTTGTTGTTTGCTTGTTTTGTATGTTTTCGAAATATTGCCACTGTCTATGTAAGGCAGATTACTTTTATTTTGCTGTTGTGTTTTCAGTAATGTTCATTTTAATTCTAGTTTGGCTTCAATGTCCTTAATGTAGTCATTCCCCCTTGTTCATAGCTACTTGTCAGTTAAGCAGTTGTTTTATGTTTTCTTCTGGCACTACACAATACGATACAATTTGGCTGTATGGCTTTGAAAACACATAGCCACTTTCCACACACAAGCTTCTTAATGTCAGTCTTCTTGCTGACCCTTAAAATTGAAATTTTAAAGGAGTAATATAAAGCAGAAATAGGCAGTCATTCTCTGTGAATTCCCAAATGTGTTCAGGGTTTCGTTCTAGCCAAATACTGCCGGAGGTGCTTTTAGTGATAAAAGCATCTTGAACTAGAGATAAGGAACTAAACAATGAAATCCTTTAGTGTACTCCTGTCACCTCATGTGTTTTCTAGCCCTGTACCGAGGCTATGCAATAGTTGTAGTCATGGCAAATAATACTGATTTTTAGCCATGTCAGGAGACATGCCCCCCCCCTTTAAATCTATTTTTGAAAGGACCTGTATGTCTGAGATCTGGGACTGTAACTGTTTTGCACAGCAGAATGCTCAACTCTATTATCCTAAATTTGACTTGTGCTTTCTGCACCTAGGAATGTAATGATTCAGATGTGCACTAATCAAAAATTAGTGGCCAAATGTGGACAATTACACATTCTTTGTAACTTCAGTCATAAATTATAATAAATGTTCACATTCATGGACTGAAGAAGCATCTAATATGATATCACCTACCCCTAAAGTGGATCATTTCCACTCCCCACAGTTTGTAGTGAGTGATAGCAGTGCACAGACTGCAGTGTTCTGATTAAGTCTGCTGTCAATAATGCCTGTAACATGATTAATCAGAACATGTTCAGGGTACGTTTTATTTATCATGGTCATGAGTTGCTTTCATGTGTTGTTTTTGTGTTCATGCACTATGTCCTTTTGTCAATCAGCCTTAGCGCCTAGCCAAGTGGCCCTTGTGCCCTTTGAAAAGGGCCTTGCCCTTTAAACTATGAAAATTAACAGCCTGGTTATGGATTAGAAAAATGGAATTCAATCATTCAAGACTAGTGTGCTCTCTTGTGGTTGTTAACTTGACTATATACACTGTATCGACAGGTGAGACTACAATCAACTAGTTTGTCATCAGCTACATGCAATAATTCAAAGAGCGCAGGCCGTCACTCCAGCAGTACAGGAGCTTCTTCTGGAGGGCTATGAGGAATTTAATGTTTTAATTCACATGCAGGTAACTCTGCAACAGCAGCGAAAATGCAGAGATGGATGAAAAAAAGTTGCTGACAAATTAAATGCATAAGTACCTCAGTTAAATCCTTCATGGCAATGAGCTTGCGTGCCCACTGCTTTGATATGATGGAAAATTTTATTTCAACTATGCATTGTATTCAGAGCATGTACAAGCACAATAAAAACCTGTGAACAGATGAAAGTGAAGCACAAGAATATTCTGCAAGCTGCTCTTACTGTAATGTATTACTCTTAGCCCTACTACTATTATTACTACGGTTTCTCTCCATAGCTTTTACTCAGTATTCAAATGACAAGTCTCTAAACAAGGGTGACATTCGCCACAACATGTAGTTTCTTCTGTGCAAAATAACAGCGTCTCTCCATTTTCTTCTGAATTTGTTAAAGGTGTATGCTGCCGTCACCACCGACTGTACTGGAATGTGTAACATTATGACTTTAGAAAGAAAAAAAAATGGCTGTCAATAAGCCATACTTTTCCAGGAAGTGCAGAAGTATAAGCTGTAACAAGAGTTTGGCAAACCTAACAGGCTTCTTTAAAACTTGTATGGTTATCTAACTACTTGCATTTCTTGTCCGACTGCTTTTGAGTAATGCCACAGCTTTATTAATTAGCTTTGTAAGTATGATGGTCAAAATTACACAAACAAGACCCCGGTTGTAAGAAACCAAATTTTGAGTGGTTAAATAGAAGAACGACTGAGGGTGGCGGTGGGTAGGTGGGTGTTTGTATGTGTGTGTGGGCAGAGTACAGTTAATTGTGCAGCTCTCATACAGAGTTCAGGGAAAAACACTGTCATATAGCTTTGTGTGGGTTGGTACATGCATGCCTCAGGCCTATATGCATTAACATTAGGAGGCACTGTATTTACCAGGTGTTGCAAATGGTGCTTGTAATCACAGAAAAGACTGCCTTCCTGTGTATTGGTGTGATAATAAATTACTTTCAGTAGCCATTCATTTCAGTTCACGGTTCTTAAGTGCAGCAGTATGGTGCTAAAGGTTCCTGAACATTATATGATAAATGTGTCAGGTGCTGATCAACTATCCACTGGCCCACATGCAGTGTGAATGCTGTACTGGCTGCATTTGTTACAAAGAATAATGATGCATCTGTGGTGTAGCTGTAGCCTTTGCGATCTATCGATGTTTTTCCCCAAGACTGTTTTCTCAAGACACAATTTATCTTCTCAGTTCACACTGTCAGATTGTGCAGTGGCTTTAAAAATTTGAGAATACACATGGCTTTCTGAACATTCATTTTATTGTAGCTACCGCTATATATTTCACTTGAAAAGCTTCATCTCTGGTGTTTTCCATTGTTGTTCCTTAAAGTGTAATAGCTGTAATGGAATTGTATCAGCCTTGCACCAGAAGGTCAGCTTTAAAAGGTTTCCATTATTGAAAAGGTCAGTGCTTCCAGGTGTGAAACGCCACCATAGCAGAGATGGAAAAGTCAAAAATGCTGAAAAACGTATAATTGGATGAATTGTCTCTAATTGTATTAGATATACTTATATTCTTTCTCTCTCTCTCTCTGCACGTGTGTGTGTGTGTGTGTGTGTATGCATACACATATATGTGTGTGGGCTTTTCCCTCCACTACCCTGAGTGGTGGCTAGGGGGTGCACTCAGGATATGGTGTGTGTCTGGGCAGAGAGAGAGTGTGTGTGTGTGTGTGTGTGTGAAAGAGAGAGAGAGAGAGAGAGTCTCAGTAATGTATTCCTGCCTGTGGCTGGGCTGGTCACATGGGGAGAGCAGTCTGTTTAAAACAGCCTCAGCTCGCTCAGTCAGAGCAGTGCAAGACACAGAGACAGACGCACACATTCTCTCTCTCTTCCTCTCTTTCATGCACACACTCACACACACACACACACGCACACACACACATGCAGACGGCAACTTTTTTCTTTTGGACTGACTGAACACACACACCGGGATAGACACAGTCCCCTTGCCACAGTGGAGAAGAGGATAAGGAGTGACAGAGCAGGAATAAAGAGATATTGACAAGAAGGAGGTTCCCAGTGAGTAGCCATTTGACTTTCATATATTTAAATATTTTTTTTTATCTCTGATTTTTGGACTTTGCTCCTCTTCTTCAGCGCTGTCTGACTGGGATCTGACAGGGACCGGAGAAAGGCAAAGAGTTAGATGGAAGGAATTAAAAAAGAAAGGACAGCCAAATGCAAAGGCAGTAGAAGAGAGCAGAAATGTGGTGCTAGTACGACAGTGGGATACCTCTCCATCAATCCGTCCCTCTGTCTGTGGGATCTAATGCTGTTAATTAGCAGCGTGCACTTGGAATGAAAGGAATGCCATTGCACGGAGTTGGAGTAGGGTTTGCTTCGGACTCTTGTGTGTCTGTGCGTGTCCTCTCTGCCTTTTCATGTTTTGTATGCCGGCTGCATGGTGATGGTCATCCGTACTGATGTGGAGCAGATTCCCTGAGACACACGCTTCTCTGGCTGTGATTAATAGAAATCTATTGATATGTAGATGGAAGGGGAGAGACCTGTCACAGCACTCCGTTCCAGTGATATGAGTGATGTGTTGGGGGAAATGAGGACAGTCTCACTGCCTCCCCTTCTCCTTATCTTCTCTGTCCAAGTATCTGTCTGCCCCTCTCTGTCCTACTGACTCGCTGTCTCTTTCTTTTCATCCTCCCTTCCCACTGCCCTCCCCACTCATTTTTGCTGCTGCCGATGATCTCTTTCTCTGACACGCTCTCCTACTTCACGTTGTCCTTTTATGTTTTTTTCATTAACTCTTCTTCCTGATTGCAACTCCCTGTATTTTGTTTCCTGAGCTCTTTGTGTTCTTTTTTCATCCAATTCCTCTCTCTTTCTCATTTTCTCCCTCGCACTGGTACATAGTCTACTGGCGTAGATAGTAGATTCCTTGGTTGCGTAGAAAGAAAGGGGATCGCAGAGTTGTGAGGACGAATGGACAGACGGACGGGAGGGAAAGGGAGAAGAAAGAGAGAGGAATGAAGGAGAGAGTGGAAGGAGGGGAAGGGGGGGCAATGAAAAGGCTGACACTGGCTTGGACAATTAGCCCAGGGAGTCCGTCCTGGGGTGCTATTCTGAGAGAGGCTTTGGCCCCTGGGCCCTGGGCGCTGGGTCACAGGATGCCTTGACCCCTCCAGTCGACAGCTAGGCATGGGAGCCATTATCACAGCCTGATTGATTAGCACTGAGCGGAAATCCCTTTTCTCTTCACTCCTTGGGAGAAAAAGACGGGAGCTTTTTGTCCTTTTGCTACTGCTGTTTTAGTATATGCCCGCCTGAAAGTTCTGGCTCTTCACTTTTTTTTTCTGTTGTCACTTATGAAGGTCTGGTCTCTATATATCCTTTCTTTCTTGGCTTGTCTTCTTTCCTCTTATTTCTTTTCTCTTAAGCGCATGTGTGTGTGTGCGGGTACAGTATTTATTTAGCAATAACACAGTGAAGTTGCCCTTTGAGAAAGATTCTGCAAAAAGTTATTGCCGGACATCCTGATATTCAGACATCTGATCTGAGTGCATTTTCACAGTAGTTCTTTCACCCTGGTCATTTTCTCAAGTTCTGTAAGTTGTGCACCTGCAGAGATTGCTAGTGATGCATTTTAGAGACTATGGGTAGGCTGTGAGGGGGAAATTAGTGAATCAGAGAGAGAGGAAACTATCTGATAAAAGGAAATGTGAAAGAAATAGTAATAAAAGACAAGAGTGGTGGGGGAACATATACAGGACTGTGGGACAGCTTGGGAATCTCAGCGTCTCACTTCCATCTGTGTGTTTTCCTTGTATTGTCCCTCCATCTCATTTCTGTGTTTTGTCCCATCTCCCTCTAACTCTCACTACTTTTGCTCTCCCTTAACACCCCCTCCCCTTCCTCAGACTGGGAGTTTAGCAGGGTGTTTAGCCCAGCTCACGGTTGATCAAAGCAGTGTGTGTCAGAATTGGCTTAGCCCCGGCACTCCTAATGGAGCACCGTTTTCATGCCTAGTTGGTGGTGGAGTGGGAGGGTGAGATGGGGGGGTGCAAACAGAAAGACTGACAGAAAGAGTTCAAGGGAGGGAAAGACAGCTAGACAGGCAGACAGACGGAGAAAAGGCGTATAAATGAGAACAACACAGGCAACCAGATGAGGGCAGACAGGCCGAGGGAGGGAAGCAGTAATGATTAAAAAGCAAAACAGGCAAAAGGTGAGCAGTAAAGTAGAACTACTGCTTAAACATGTTTTTAAAAAGACAGACAGCCCAAACCAAAGACACCAGCTGCCAATTGCACACAGAGAGACAAATTTGAAAACAAGAAGATAGGCAGTGAACAGAGAGGCGGGCATTAAATGTCTTTCCAGTCCTTTTCTGGTGGAGGAACCTAGCAGCAACATGGTACACAGTTTAGTCCAGCACAGGATAGCTGCCACACATGGTTTGGTTTTAGGCTGGAAGCAGCAGCAGACGGGAAGAAGCTTGTGTTGCTCATGGACCCGGGTGTTTTTGTGTGAGAGAGAGATAACGAGAGAAAAAGGAAAGAGCTCTGTGTGTGTGTGTGTGTGTGTGTGCATAGTAAGCATGCGTGTGCCCGTCTGTGTACACCTGTATGCTAAACACCAAACAATCATACATGTAAACCTCTATATTAACTTTCAACTGACTATAAAACACTGTCCACCTTTCTTGGAGATTAAAGGTCTCACTTCTTTTTAAGACATTTTTGGCAGAGGCAAAGAATGGAATTTCTTAGTAGAGGGGGGAAGGAGTTACCGTTTTAACTTTAAGAAATAAAAGTCATGGTGCTTCTATTTTATTTATTAAGGGGTGACATTTTTAAATGCTTGTCAAGGAACTCTGAGGTAGAAAGTGAGAAGTGATTGTTTACAAGTGTGTTTTAGTTACGTTTAAACTGTGACTTAGATACTTCTGAACTTTTTTTCTCTTGTCATTCTTTTTCTCATGCTTCTTAGTTTACTTTCCTTCCATCCTCTCAATTGCTTTACTAGAAATACTTATTAAGAACTTGTATTGGTACTCAGTATCAAGAAGAACTGAAGAGTGAGTACTCGTACTTGGGCTAGAAAAACTTAGGATCGGTGCATCCCTACATTTAGGTGTCTTGTATCCCTTGTTCATCCTACTTCTACATTGCAGACTCTTCACTCTTCCTTTTGCCATCATCCTCCTTTTACTCCTACTCTTACTCTCAGGTCTACTCTGGTTATCTACTCTCCTTTTATTCCTCTTGGCCTCTTCTTTCCCATTCCCCATATCACAATGTTGGTGTTTATGCTTCAGACAGAAGAAAAGTAAGGTACGACTAGGATATTATTTCTCCTAACATACTTACTGCCTGGGTAAACATCCTTCGACAAATGTCAGAGTATGGGCCTGATCAGAGCAGGACTGGGGGACCGCGAAGCTTACTGCTGTAATGTACACAAATGCTACAAATTGGAAGCCTGTGGAGGTGAGGGGGGTGAGAGGGGTAGGGAGAAATGGAGGTATGATGAAAGTCACAGACTTTTCTTGCCTTGAAACTGTTTCTGGAAGGAGACGGAGGAGTTCTGAAGCTTTCCTCTTAGCAGCCCCCTAGTTTTAGCTGGCACTGACCATCGCTGCCACTTGAATGACATTGCTTTGCATAATTCACACTTGAAACTGAAGGCTGTTATTAATGCTTTGTCTGCGAGCAGGTGTTTGTACTTGGCCAAAGACTGTTAGCAAAAGAACCACCAATTTGTAACAACGGTCTATGATCACATGACCCACAAAGAGGTGATTTGTCTCTGGTGAAAAAAGTCTTGTCGCATCCTGTCAGTTTCAGTAATTTCAAGGTTAAACTTTCACTCAAATATCAAAGGTTCATAAATCTCACTGTAACAGCTGTGAACTGGGATCTCCAACAGATAGCACTAGGGAAAGCTTAAAAGGATGAAGCAACATATTTCATATCCCATGATTATTATCTTATTTTCTGGTTGCAGCTGCATTTACTATAAAAATAATTAAGCTAAAACTGTTGTCTGCTTTCTCAACTACAGTACTTAAAGGTGATTTTAAATCTTAACTGAATTTCTGGGTTTTAGGTCCCATGGGTTACATCACTAACTTGTAGAAGAACCTATTTAGATGTAATAAGGATTCAAAAGATTTGATAATACTGGATTCAGATCTGACAAAATGCTTTCTAACTCAATGCTCACAGTGGGTGACAGAGAGAGACAGAGGAAAAGTGACCGGGGAGAGTCAAGAGTAGTAAGGAAGAAGAGAAGAAATAAATAGGAGATTTTCATAAGCATATAAACACAGGCATGAGCTTTATATGTGACAAGCCTTCTAAAGGCAGGGAAGACATGAGAAAGCCAATGCTTCTCTCTGGCAATGCACAGCTCCCACGCTTTCTCCATCCACCCTCTTGCACTCTCTTTAATTAGATACGCTACTTGCTGTGCACTTTTATCTAAATGCACCTAAGGGTCTGAAAACATGACAAGATTTTTGTTAAGATTTGGCCCAAATTAAGCCACCTTACAGCGCTTGCATTTCAGATATCCAAATTTCCTATTGTTTCCTCTCTGCACCCTGAGATCTGGCCCAGAGGGGGATACTCAGCATGTGATTATTTCAGTAATCCAAAAGGACTCTTGTGTTTTCTTTGTATATTTTTTTTTATGAAGAGAGGACATGCAGATAATAAACCACCGTCTAATGCCATAGCTCATAACATGCCCTCTAAGTGTGAAAAGCTGTGAAGTGTTCATTTTAAAAAGTTCTAGCTGTCTGTGGGCATGAGTAACTGTGCTTGTGAGTTGATATTTTTCTATACTTGTGTATTTGTGCACCATTTTTTCTGTTTGTGCATTTGCCTGTTTGTCATTCTGTCAATCTGCCTTTTCAGCTGTCAACGTATGTGTGTGCTAGTGGGATATTCGCATCTAAACTGTGTGCATATATATTCCTATATTTATAAGTACTTTATATTTTCCTTTTTCTTTTTTTTGTTCTCTCAGCCTTATCTTGTTTACTTTCTACTTGTTGAAGA